AAAAAAAAAAAAAAAAAAAAAAAAAGAGAGAGAGAGAGAGAATAACCTTCTTCATTTCTCCTATTTTCAAAATTGAACTAATGTTGATCCCCATGTTTAATTTTTTAAATAATTGTTCTTCACAAATGGTTGAATCTTAAGACATTTTCTCTGAACACATGTTTTTCCACTGCTACAAACAAGCATGATTTAGTTAACACTGGTAAATGGCTCTCCTTGCCCAGGTAACAGCTTATTGCTAATAAGCTATTCAGAAATACTGCAGACTCATTCATGTTTTATACTTTTGAAAAGAAATTATTGTGATAAGAAATTCTATTTTAAAATTTCTAATTTTTCTGATTACTTCTTTCCAATGAATTAAGAATGTGATGATGTTTGCCTATTCAGGCCATGTAAACATATACAGTACTATATTCTATCTGTACAGCTGCAGTCTGGTTGCATAAAAAACTCAATGCTTTGCCATTTACTTCACTTAAAAGATTCATTCTCCTATGCACTAAAGAATATCTGAAGACAACTCTGTTTTCCTTATTTTAACATGAGCAGCCACTATTAATAAAAATAATAAAATGTCACAGTACAGCAATATATACAGTGAACAAAATAATACCAAGTAATAATTGTGTCACTGCAGTTTACAGAAAATATATATAAATCAGTAAGTGTAGTTATGTTCCAATATAACTTTATGGAGACTGAAGTATCATGAAATATTGCTTCCGATTTTATTTCAACTATTTAAAAATGCAATGCTTGCAAATTGTACACAAACAGGAGGTGGAATACATTACAGCTAAGAACGCAGGACATGTGGTACTATGTACTCTCTAAAAGCATCAATTTATATATACAACCCAGTGCGTGGATCACATGGCAATTCAAACCTAACATATTCCAAATTAAATTAATCATATTCCCATATACTCTAAATTTTCTCTTCTTTCTACATTCTTCAATTCATCACCAACTAACTAATGAATCCCATACGGCAGATGCTGACAAAAGGGAATAACTGTGAATCCTCTCTGTCCATTAATATTCACTGAAAAGTTCTAAATGACAGAATGTTACTCAGAGTACAAGTCACAGACAAAAAAAAAAAAAAAAGATTCTTTCTTACAAAGAAGAAACAAAAGATAAAACTTCTTTTTCAAAGAACAAATGAAACTAGTGATATAAATGAAACAAATGATTAACATTTTGGCCATTCTTTTAAGATCATGATACACAGTATGTTAATCAGTGGTATTCTCTATTTTGTGAAATTTTGTTTTATTCTTTCAAGAAGAGTGCTTTTATATCTTCTTTATTAGTATCTACTTGTATTACATTAAAATAAAAAATTTCTAATTATTTATTCCTGAACAGTGCCAAAAACCATACCCTCTTCTTTATCTCTACTTTTTTTTTTCAGCTTTAATTGAGTTTATTGGTACATTTTAAGGATACACTACAGTTACATTCATTGTTGGGATCTTGTACCTCTACATGACAAGTCTCGGTTTTCATTTTTTCCCCTTACCCCTGCCCTCCCTTCACCCCCACGATCTCTTTTTTTCAAATCCTTATCATTTATCACCTGAATATTATAAAAGTTGTCTCTATTATCTCTATTTTTCCCCTGAAATCCATATGCAAAACTGTGCCCTGCATGTTTTATGTAAAATGAAAAACTATCTCACTCTCCTTGAAATTAGAATAAAATCTGACTCCTCAGCATGGCTTATGTAAACTCTAACTGTAATGTTCTGCACTCACTGTATAACTCTCTTGCCGTATCTGCTAGAACAATCCTAGCCCTCCTCTCATGTCTCAAGACAAAATTTCTTTCTTCCCACAAACTCTTCTATAGTATTAACACAACAGTTTCCAAATTCTGTTCCATGAAAGACCCTTGAATAATACCGAAGGAAGGCAGAAGGAAAAAGAGTTCAGTAAGGGCACTTCTATTACTATGTGCTTTACTATCTAGGCTTTTAGATATGTCATTTAAAACCATATGCAACAGAGTCCCATGACCAAAAATAAAAAATACTTAAATTTAAAACTTAGTTTTGAAAACCCTTATTTGCTTAGCAAAATATGTGAGGGATTATATGGCATGACTCTCTCATCCCTCCACCCTTTCTCACCCTCGAACCTCTTAATCCATTTTCCATCAATCTGAATGGGACAAGCTGCTTCCATCTCTATGATTTTGTTTGCTAAATCCTCTCTGCTTTTTTTTCCTTTCTCAATTTAGCTAATTTATATTTTATGCCTTTGAATAAAGGCAATATTTTCATCGATCTGAAATATGAAAATATTATTTATTTAACTTTAGAATTATCATCTGGTTCCCCTCATGTGAATCTAAGAACAATGAAAGGTCCTTAAATGTCTTACAGCTATGTCTCCACAATCAAGAGAACAGTACCCAACATACAGCACACATTCAAATAAATATTTGTGAAAATATGTCCTAGAAGATTTTACATACCAGATTTTATCAACATATGCATGCTAAATAAACTCACTCTCTCCTTCTCTGGTGCTATCTGGGATTTAACCTAGGGCCTTGCTCATGGCAGGCAGGTGCTCTACAACTGAGTTACATCCCCAGCCCTTTCTATTTTGAAACAGAGTACTGCTAAGTTGCCCTTCAACTTGTGTTCTTCCTACTTCATCTCTTGAGTAGCTGGGATTATAAGTGTACACTACCTCAACAGGCTCTTGCTTTCTCTTCATATTTATTTATTCTCAATCAGTATGTCTAATATTTTTATTTTCCTACAAGATCTTTCCCAATTTTTGTGAAAAGGTTCATGATGTCAATATAAATGTGGTTCTAGTTAATGTAGCATGACCTCTACATCCTGTAAAAATATGTAAAAAATCTAAAAAGGAACAGAACAGTATGAGGAAAATACATGGAGATAATTATGAAAAGAAAAAATGTGAATACCTTCTTATAAAATATAAATGATAGAAATTAAATTAGTTTGAATTGGGTTTTGATTTGCTTATTTTTAAAAGGATACATAATTTCAATGCAAAGGAACTGATCACCCAGAGCAAAAAATTTTCATGTCAAGTATTTAACTTACACTCTACAAAATACAGTGCTTTTTCTATTTAGAATCATTTAACTAATGTTTAAAAAGAGAATAATGCTAAATTCTGCCACCAAAAATAATTAGGATATAAAAACATATAAAAATGATTCTTACTAAGTTATTGTCATCCTGGAAAGCATAGTGCAAAGTTGTAATCCACTTACTATCTCCATTTACTAATACATCCCTTTCTTCACGAAAACATGCTGTCTGAAAAGGAAAGAAAAAAATTTTTAGAGAACATTGCACATGAAGTTAGGAAATAAGCAAATAGATGCTTAATATGTTTATTACACTACTTCTACTCTGGAAAAGGAATACATTCAATATTGTATGACTTTTTTTTTTTTTTTTGATACTGGGGATTGAACTCAGGTCCTTGAGCTTGCAAGGCAGGCCACCGAACCGCTGAGCTAAATCCCCAGCCTTGTATGACTTTTTAACAACTCAAGTTTCAAAGGAGAAACAGAACTCCTGAACTAGCAGACTTAGGAAAATATTTTATATTAAAAAAATACTGTTATATGGTCCAAAATAATCAGAAGAAGGCAAAGCAAAAAACAATTTATAAAATAGACCAAACTACCAACCAGATAATATAAATATTCACATTTTGCATACTTCCTTCTGACGCTTTTTTTAAAGTTGTAAACCTTTTTACTAATCATTCTCCTTTCCTTCCCTGTTGTAATAAATAATTTGAAGATACTACAGTATACATATAGATATATATATCAATTTGACCACACATGTACATATGTCCAAAATAAGAGAAATGAAATGTACTTTGAAAATCTACATGACTGTTGTAATTTTACCTATCTTTTCTACTCAATAAAGACTATTTCCCTTTTAATTGCTATGGTATTCCATTGTTTCAGTGTACCAAAACAGAACTTACTGCTGTAATCCCTAATCATGGAAATGTAACTTTTTTTCCAGTTTGTGTTACTACAATAAAAATATTTGTACATGTATACATGAGCTCCTCTACATTATATATTTAAAAGTAGAAATTCCAGATACAAGAAAATTTCAACTTTACCAATGACAGCAATTTTCTCTTCATAATTGTCACTTCACTAGTATACAAAGCTCCCCTTTTCCCCAGAATTTAACTGCATTTGGCATTATTAGAGTTTTAAGTCATTTCCAATATAATAGATGTGAAATTATATCTTCTTTTTCTTTTAATTAACATATTCCAAATTACAACTGCAGATGAACAGATATACTTATTGGACACAAGAACTTTCTGCATGAATGTTCACTTCCTTTGCCCATTTTCTCTAATAAATTGTTATTTTCTTACTAACTTGTTAAAGTTTTAATTTATTTGCAGAATATATCTCCACTATTATAAAAGTATATCCTGGAGAATCATACAAACAATAACAATTAATTTTATATAATACCTTATAATTCTATAATATATAATGTTTAATTTTAATAAAAAATGAAAAATCTATACCAGAAACTTAAGAACTGAATGGAAATATAGAAAGTACAAGTCTCCCTAAGCCATACCACCCCCACAATTTCAATGTCCAACTGTTGCGTTCAAAAGTTATCACATTTAACTCTTACGTTCAGTGCACTCTCAGGAAATTCCAGAGTATATACACACACACAATGTATATACTATATATTCTTATGGTATCCTACCTCTGTTATCTTAATTTTTTTCTTTCCACAATGAGATCATAGTATTCTATAAGGAGTTTCTTTGTTTTCCCAAGTAACAACATATGGGAACATCTTTCCATCTTAGTACACAGAACCCTATCCAATATTTCATAATGGTTATACCATATTATAAAACAGTATTCTATGTGTAACAGGTGCTTTGTTATTATTTCACACAGGTAAATTAAATAGTCATGATACACAAAACAATAGCGCTATACAATTCGCCTTAACAATTCCCATATATGCCTATAAACTTTATTTGGGCACATGGAATTTCCAAATCCAGATGCTAAATGGCAAGATCAGAGAAAACACTTTAAAAAATAAAGTTTAATTAAACCAGTTTAAATGGGAAGTTCTACCTGCTTCAGTTCATTTTGGGGGAAAACACAATCATGTGACTTACATACCACTAAGTCCAATTTTATAATTGAACGGACCTGAAGTTATGGTTAACTGCTAACATTTTTAGAGAGACTGTGGAGGTTCTCAAAGCCTAGGGGTCTCCTTTCTCCAGGCTTTATCTTACAATTAACAGCTATCTGAAATTCTATACACACTCAGGCTAGACTCCAGTAAACAACTATCATTTCACTGGATTGATGACATCAAACTAAATGAAACTCCAAAGACTTTAGTCAAAAGAAAAGACTGAACTGTGAGTTTTAATAAATGCTAAACTGTTCAGTAAAAGTTTATAAAATAAAAATACATAACGAACTATAATATAAAATTTCAAATATACATATACAAAAGTGGAGAGACTAATATAACAACTCTCTCAAAGTACCATCATCAATTCAATTATTTTGTTGGTCAATCTCATTTCATTACAGTTTCAACCACTTACCACCAGCCATCAGCTCCATAAGTGCATGTAAACACACATATACTATTTAAAGCAACTTCTACACATAATATGATTTCATTCATAAATATTTAGCTATTAAGCTATTCTTATTAATACCTCAAATACTATCTACATGTAAAGTACAGAATGTCCATACATAGCCTTTTTAGCATCATTGTCCTCAGTTGGGTAACAACTGGAGAGAAGTCTACTGGCATCTAGCAAGTAGAGGCCAGGGATCCTACTACAATGTATAGAACAGTTATCAGTCAACAGTGTCTTATCAAGAAGCCCTGTTCCAGATCAATATTAACCAAATCATGAATTTATAAAGTGTTTGAGGATTCAAATGGCTAAAGGCTATAATAATGTCTACTTCAATTACATTTTTTTTAAAAAGATGCTTTAAAATTCCCCTCCTTTAAAAGCAGGGTATTTGAATCTAAGAATGCAACAAACATGTAGGAGAAGTTACTGGAAATACAGGACTTCTTCAGATTCAATCACTCACTTTTTCTCAAACAAATGTTTAACCAAACCACTCTGCTTGCCATAGTGTTGTGGCTGTTACACACTTTATACTTTTTATTATTTGATCATATATTAAATTTCATTCTTATTACTGGGATAAAGAGCAAAAGGAATATTACATTAAAATATAATTAAGCACCTCACATAAAAATGATAGTAATTCTGCAACACTGTCACATGATTCTCTTCAATACACTCATAAAGTGCTTTCATCAAATTAATGATCTTATATAGCACAACAAAACTGCACACATACTAGGAAATCATGTGTCACAATGAGAAAATCTACAGATGAGTATATTCAATCTGGCTACTTATTTACTAGGAATGAAGACTTCTCTCTCCTCTCTCCTTAGTAAAAAACTTCAAAATACTTCAGAGAAATACTTTCAAATAATAACTCAGTATTTCTCTCTGATATAATATTTGATGAGGACAAAGTCAAATGTTTTCATGATTAAAAAATAAAACAATAGACTTTTAAATTGAACAATGCATGAATTCCAAAAATTAGATCTTAATATAGCGTATCATAATTTTACCTTTAAGTTTCCATTTTATCTATTTGGTGGCCAAACCAAACATGAGAAATACTAGATTTTTAAATTTGTCAGTAAAAATATTTTTGATATAAACAAAGAGAAATCATTTGATATGCATAATTTGCAAGTGGTGAAAACAGGCACATTTTTAGTCTAAAGACATACTGGTCCAACTTTTACAGAAGACAATTTATTCTGAAGTAATAGCTATCAGAGTTTAAAGGAACTGTATTCTCCAGCTCTAGCCCAAGAGTTTCAATAGTAAGGACATTAAATTTGAGAAATGGGTAAGTACTATACTACAGTCAGCACAACATGAAAATTCTCTTAATGAAAAAATTATCCTTAAAATCATTTCAACCTCAGTATATACAAACTGGAGTACCTCAGGGTATCCCACCGCCATTATCTTTAATTAAGAGTACTTCATAGCCCTCCTCCTTTCAGAATTTATATTGGAAACATTTCTTGGGTGGCAAGACTACTTTTAATGTACACTTTTCTCTCATAATGAAATACAACATACTTAGATTTGGTAAAACAAAATTATTAACAGTTTGATTATATCTTCTATGAACTCACATGGCTAAATACACAAAAGTTCTCAAATATACATGTATATTTTATCCTGTAATAAAAATATAGAAACAACCTAAATGCCCATCAGTTTTTTTAAACTATAAGACTCTTACCTCAGCTCTTTTCAGCATTTCCCACTTATTCAAAATTTTCATGGCAAATACCTTATCTGCATTTTTTAGTTTTACTACAGCAACCTAAAAAAGATAAAAGAAATATAACTTTTAAAATACAGCAAAGTACTTCTTTCAATCATCCATTTTCCTTTTTCTCTCTGTAAAAAAATAAATTCCAATTATCAATTATTTTAATGCAGCTCAAATTCTAAGGTCCTAAATTAAATAATGCCAGGTTAAAAAAAAGTTGCATTAGTGAACATATACCGACTCATAACTGCATTTGTGAACACTATCAATTGCTTATTGTGCATTATATCCAAGTTTTCTGCTCTGGAATTTGAATTCAGTATCTACTATTAATCAGAAATTGACCAAAATGTACAACATGAAGGACGTAGATCTTAGGAAATAATACATGCCAAATTTCACCATAATGCTACAGGGAAGGCCAACTGCCAAAACAAATATGCTCTATGGGGACTAAAGGACAAGAAATAAATAGAAAATGATGCTATTTTTCATTCTTCATACTCTATACACGATACCATGACCTCCATCCCCCAAATCACACTTTGAAGAGCTTAAAATGAACAATTTAGAACTGTATACTTTACACATCCCTTCCAACAATAACAAAAAAGGAACAGGTATTTCTGCATTTTACATTTCAGTTATGGACCTTGAAAGTATCAAATACAACACATAAAACTCCACTGTCACTCTCAACAAACTGATTTCATTTCTATTTCTCTGATTCAAACGGCCTTTCCAGTTTGGTGGATTTACTGTAGAGCTGAGACAAAAAAACAGAAGTGTAAGACAAATAGTGACAATATTTCTTTTCAGTTATTAAAAGGCTGGGATGGGGAAGATAAATACTACTTGATATAATGTGGAACCTAAGTGTCCCCACAGGTACACATAGTAAACCATAGATCCCCACTGTGGCACTCTTGGGAGATGGAAAATCTTTAAGAGAGGGGTACCGTGGAGATCTTTCGCTTGTTGGTGAGTAACTTTGAAAAGGTTTGTGAGACTCCAGTCTCTTTTTTTATTTTTCATGTCCTGGCCAGTAGGCGAGTGGCTTTACTTCACTAAGTACCCCCACCCAGATGCTACCTAACAGGACCAAAAGCAATCAGGTTAACTGCTCATAGACTAAAACCTCCAAAACTGTGAGCCAAAATAGCTTCTTTCTAATTTGATTTTCTCAAGTATGATTCTACAATAACGGGAAGCTGACTAACATTCTACACTAATAAGTAGGACAGAACAAAGTATATACAAATATTTAAACAATTCAATGAGATATGTCCAATTATATAGAACAGGTTTTGTTTGTTTGTTTGTTTGTTTGTTTTGGCACCACGGACTGAACTTGGGACCTTGCGCTTGTAAGGCAGGCGGCAGAACCAGAGTTAAATCCGCAGCCCTAGATTAGGTTTAAATTCAAATATAAAACTTTTAAAAATTAATCTTAATAGTAAATGTGCATATCAAGTGCATTTAATAAATTTATCAGACTGCAATAAATGTTAATATGTCAATATAATTAAATTCCATGTATAGTGCTGGCCATTTCTTGCTAATTATCAAATACTGTAGTTATAATGACTGTAATTATAGTTTTTCCATCAAGTGAAGTGGTGAGTAGAAAAAAGTACAGTACTTCAAATTAAATCACTGTACAGACTTAAATCTTATTGGTCTTATCAGAAGAAATGATGTTTATGGAGAGGGGACTGAAAAACAAGCAGGGAAAATCTTTTTTTTTTGGTTATATTATTATATATGTATTATATATCACATTTTCCCCCATAAGCATATAGAATTATAACTAGTCAATTAACAACTCAAAATTTATAAAAGGGGATAGACATTTTAAAATCCTATTCATATTGTCAGCTTTTTTTCCTGAAAGGTGGTACTTAATTGTTCCACCCCATACTCTTATCAGAATTCTGCGAATTAAAAAAAAAACTTATTTAGCATATGTTTGCAGTACATAATTCATTGTTAGGAGTTAGTACATGCACATAACACATCTTAATTCCTTTTACTTCCCCTTTCCCTCCCTCCATTTCTTGGTTCTCTTCCCATTTGCAAAAGATCTATCTCCCAATGGATAAAGAAAATGGTTTTTTCCCTAAAATGGAATACTACTCAGCCATAAAGAATGAGAAACTAGAGGCATTTATAGCTCAGTGGATGCACAGAGGCAATACTCTTAAATGAAATAAATAGGACACACATGTGTAAATACCAAATAATTTCTCTACTGTGAGAAACTGAAAGTGTAAATAAGGATCAAAATGTATAATAGATGATGTGAAATAGGAAGAAAAGGTGCAAAGGGGAAGAAGTAGGAAGGGTAGGGGAAAGGAAAGAAGGGAATGGAATTAATATGAGAAAATGAAAAAATGGAAACAAAGTCTTTGTAGATAGCGAGGGATAGAGGGATTGAAGGAAGGGCAGGGGCATGAGGAAAAAATAAGAACCAAGACAGATCATGTAAAGGTGCAAATTTCCAATGATGAATGTCATTTTATTGCATACCTTAAATGTATCAAGAAAATTAATTTTTAAAAATCTATCTCCCTTCTTGTTATCTATCTTTTATTTTGTTCTTTAATTTATTTATGGTTTGGGTTTCTCGTATAAGAGAAACCATGTGATACTGAAGCTTGTATATCTGATTTATTTCACTTAACATTATTATCTCAAGTCACAACCATCTTCCTATAGATGACTCAAATTTCTTTTTTATTAATTTAAATTTTTATTGCTACATTTAGCCCTTGGCTTAAACAAGCCAAAAGAGAACCCTTAGAAAAAGTAATTTACCAAATCATGGTACCAATCAAATCATGAACAACAAATTGCAGTATCTGGCTCTTCTCAGGTTCCTTTTGTGTTGCTAAGACATTAGATAAGTCTGACTGACAAGCAACAGTTTCCAGGAAACAGTAGTGCTCCATTCTGTATAAATACTACATTTTCTTTATCTATTCATCTGATGAATACAAGCTGCTTCCAATATCTAGTTATTATGAGCTGTGCTACTATAAACATGAGTATGTACATATTGCTATAATATGATATCTTTTAACTCTTTGGGGAAGATACCTAAAAGGGGAATAGCTGGGTCAAATGAAATTTCTATTTTTAGTTCTCTGAGGACTCTCCATACTGATTTCCATAGTGACTGTATTAGTTTACATTCCCACCCACAATGTCGGAGAGTTCTTTTTTCTCCATAGTTTTGCCAACAACTGTTATTATTTGATTTCTTCATGATAGGTATTTTTTCTGGAGTAAACTGAAATCCCAACGTTGTTTTAATTTGCATTCCTCTAATGCCCAGAGATGGTGAACATTTTTTATATATTTATTGGCCATCTGTACTTCTGCTTCTGAGAAGTGTCTATTAATTTCAGTTGCCCATATTTTGTTCTGGGGAGGTCAAATTTTTTTAGTATTTTATATAGTTTCAATAACAGTTCTCTGTCCAAGAAGTGGCTGGCAAAAGTTTTTCCCTAATCTCTAAGTTTTCTCTTCACTCTTGTTGTTACCTTTGCTGTGCAGAAGTTAATTTGATATAATCCCATTTGTTGATTTTTGAGGTTACTTCTTATGCAACTGGGACTCTGTTCAAAAGCACTTGCCTATACCTATGTCAAGAGTTTTATATTATCTTCCAGATTGTGTTGTTTTAGTATTTAGATCTTTGATCCTTTATTTTAGTACATGGTGAGAGATACGGATCTATATTCAATCTTCTGCATGTGTACAGCCATTTTTCCATAACCATTTGCTGTATCTTTCCTCCAGTGTATATTTTTGGCCCCTTTGATTAGATGGCTGAATGGGAGTGGGAAAATCTTGAACACTATTTTACTAAGATCTATGAAAGGGTGAAAACATAAGATGAACGATCCTATAAACTCTGCATAATTGGGACTACATATGGAGAGAAGGATAGGAGCACCAAACTAGACAAGCCCATATTTGGAACACAGAACAGACACGGAAGGCTATCACATATATAATGTCTTTCCTGCATTAGCCTGATGTAGGGAAAAAAAACATCAAAAGACACCAAAACATATGTACCTTCCCCTCCTCAGATCATGCAATGAAAAGTCCTAATCCTATATGTATGAATATGTAAGTACCTGAAAACAAACACTAATAACAGTATTGTTAGTGGTGATATCCAACTTACACTGAATGCTTCAACTGCCAGGCATCATATTAATAATTATATATAGGTCTACAGCCCTTAACCACAATTTTAAAAAGCAAAAGAATATTCATAACTCATTTGGAGCATATGCTGGCATTAGACTATTTCTTTTTAATCTCATGCAAAGGCAAACATTATTTCATGACAGACATATGAATGCATTTGCTAATGGGTGCAGCCACAAATCCCAATAAGATGCAAATAAAACAGAATATATATGCATTATCTTTCCAAAATCCAGATATATTGGAACCAAAATAATTTCTAGGTTATACAGCTGTGCAAAAGGAATAATGATGATGATACTGAACATTTACTGAAAACTCAAATGCTTAACTTATATACTGTGGCTGTTAAAAGGGAGTGGATGTAGCATGGATTCTAAAGCCAGTCTAATTGGGTTTGAATCCTGATTTCATCATTATCTGTCTAACACTGGACAAAAATTAAATTATTAACCTCTCAATACTTCAGTTTTCTCAGTTCAAAACTGTACTTACTTTATATAATTGTAATAACAAAACAATGAGTATATAACATACCTACGACAGTGTGGCATTTAGTCAAGTATTCAGTAAGTGTACATATTATGTGCCTAGCACTGTGCTAAGCACATTATAGCTCAATCTCTTAAAACCATTTACTCTATGACTAACATGTGCACACAGTACACCTCTTCATTTCTTTAATTTCTATTAACTACAAAAAGAGAAACTGTCACCTCTTCAACTTCTAACTTCGTAATTTTTACCTATTACACATACGTACATATAGAAATACATGTACAAATTCCCTAAATTGAAAATAACTATGTACATATAAAAACTAGGCC